ACCAGTTCAACGCAGATTCGGAATAAGAACCTTCTTGCTTTCAATCTCGCTTATTTTCGTTTTAATTCTAAGTGTTTTCGTCATCTTAATCTTTGTTGTGCGGTTCTCGCAGATAGCCGGTTCCTCTGGAAACTTAGGGTTTTCCCGAAGTTTCCTTATTTACGATTTATTTGACAGTAGGGTGAAATCGACTCCCACATTAAGAGTAATTTTAGAAAACGTAAAAAAAACTCATTAAAAGGAACGATCCCATTTTAATAATAAAATATAATACAACCTCTAGTGATTACTTTCGATTGAGTAGTAATGTCAGATAAAAATATTTATGCCGTGGAATCTTTTTTTCTCTGTAAAACATACTCCCTCCGTTTCAAAAAGATCTATGTTTTAGAAACAAATGTTCATTTCAAAAAGATACAATTTTTATATTTTTAATGCATTTATTAATAGTAGATTGTAAACTTTAAAAATCATAATTGTGCTTGTTAAAATCCTATTGGTTAAAGAGTTATTCTAGGTTCACTAAAGGAAACAAAATCTTGTTAAGTTATATTATGTTTTTAAGAATAAAAATACAAAAATAAATAAAAAATAATAATAATTAATAAAAATGAAAATAATTTTTTTTTAAAGAAAATATTTTAACACAAAACTCTAAAATCTAATCGTAAACCTAAACCCCTAGGTAAATCATAAACCTCTGAATAATTTGTATAAAAAGATTCTTTAAGAAAAAATATTTTAACACTAAGCCCTAAACTATAATCCTAAACTCTAAACCCTTGAGTAAATTATAAACACTAAACTCTAATCCTAAACCCTAAACCCTTGGGTAAATCATAAACACTAAACCCTAAACTCTAATACTAAACCCTAAACCCTTGGGTAAATCATAAACATAAAATTTTTAGGGTTTAGTGTTAACATATTTTCTTTAAAAATAATTATTTTTCGTTTTTTATTAATTATTATTATTTTTATTTTTAAAAACAGAATATAACTTAATAAAATTTTGTTTCCTTTTTAAAAAGATATCAAATCTGAAATAATATAATTTTATTGGATGGTGAACCTAGAGGTTCACCCTAGGGGTTGAACCTAAGAATTAGTCTTGGTTAAAAGTTCTAGGGAATAGTTAATTACGGAAAAGAATGTAGTTGTAAGAAAAATTTGATATGTTTTCTTAATAAATGTGAAAATGTTAAAACATGAAACATTTTAAAACCGAGGAAGTATACAGTATCAAAAGGCAAAGATTCTGCAACAGTTGCCAGAGAGAGAGTGTTTACAAAAAAAAAAACAGTTGACAGAGAAATAAAGAGACGTCCGACAATGTACGTGAAGAAAAAACTCATAATGGGCTAAGGAATGTAATGGGCCCAAATCTCCAATCTCGGGGCTTGTCGGGATGTCTACCACAACCGCCGTCATATCTGCTGGATGCTCATCAGAACAAGTTAGATTGCTGGAACTTGGCTCGTTAATTTGGCACTCTAGGTGTACTCTCTTTCTGCATATAGGACAAGTAGCTTGCGACTCAAGCCACGCGTCGATGCAATGGGC